ACTCCTCCCAATTCCTCTCCTTGCCACCAAGCTCCCTGGCTGGTCTCCGTGCCTCTAGCCTCTCCACTCTAATCCATTCTCCTCGCCACAGTGGGTACGATCTTTCTGCAACATGTAGCTGCCTATACTAGTCCCCTGTTTAAAGGCTGGTTCTGGCTCTCCAATATCTTCATACTAAGTTCTTATTCCTTGGCTTGGAATTCGAGACCCTTTTCCCTCTGGCCCCTGCCGATCTCTTTATCCTCATCTTTTGAGACTCCTGGTCTCTCTTTCTATACTACATCTCAAACAAACTTCTATCTGACACACCTCCTGCTTCTTCACCCCTTTGTGACTTTGTTTACCCCTTCCTTATTGTCCAGGAGAGGTCTCCTCATCTGCTTATGATTTATGGCCTACTTGGAAGATGCCTTCCATTCTGCAAGCTGTTTTGTTCCCTCCTCTGGACCCTTCAACTCTACAGCAGCACAGGCCACAGTGGATATGATGGCCGATTTTTTGGTTGGCTACCCTACTAGATTAGGTTGATTCACGGTGATTAGGCACCCAGCACAAAGCCAGGTTCATTCGATGTGGAAGGAATGATGAACCTTAGTTATCCTAATATTTAAAATGGTAGCACTGGCAGCCAGGCCTGGTTAATCCAGTGGAGAGAAAGAGCACTGGGGGCTGGAGGAAGACGAAGTCCCCGAAGTCTCCGTGGGTGAGGTTGGACCTAGAATTATAAGACATCTAAGAAAGAGTGAGCATGAGCAAAAGAGAGCAAGCGAGGGGGTGAAAGAGTAAAGACTGGGGAAGCCGAGTGGCTCTCTGCCCTGACATACTTGCTCCTCTAGCTTCAAAACACTAGAAAGGTCCCCAAAGGCCAATAGCACAAGCACTTCATGTTTACACAGAGAAGCTTCAAAACCTTTTTCTCATTTCTCTCATTGACTGCTACACAGGCTGGAGTGAGAATTAGCCAACCTGAGACTTCAGATCCTGTCTTGTCCTTGGATTGCTGTGTGTCTTTGGGCAATCCCTTTTGCCTCTGATCCTCAGTTTCCTCATCTGTCTCATGAGGAAACCAGCTGTCACTCAATATATGGGAAAGCCCCAATAGACCATGAAGTTCTGTGTCTCAGTGAGGTCTATTAAGCTTGCTATTCTAATTATCAACAAAGCTCCGTGGTAGCTGCTAACCAGCCACCTGGGAGTCATCAAACAAGCACTACTCAGAGCCCCAGTAGAAGGAGACCTCTGGGGGTCAAGGCCCCAGCAGGCTAAGGAGGGGTAGAGCTTGGGAGTTTAATGGACCAGGCTCAGCCCCAACCTGGTCCTTCCCACTGAGGCAGCGCTGACTTGGGGAGAAGGAGGAGAAGCTGGAGTGGCCTGGGTTGGGCAGGTGAGCTGAGCCAACCAGCAAAGGTCTTGGGCATGAAGGCCAAAAGCAAAGTGCCCAGGGCCAGTCATAGCCCAATGAGGGGCTCGGCTCTGGGAGGACAGGGTTTGGGAGGCGGGCAGTTAGGGACCCTCCCCCGTCTATGAGAGGGGCTCTAAGAGAAGGGGGCAGAGCTAACTTCTTTCTACTCTACTGCATAGCATTCCGGGCTGGCTAGCTCTGCTGCTGCTTTGCCATCTGAGTGATTTTGGCCAGGTCATAGCCCCGTCTGGGCTTCCCGCTCCCTGTCAGCAGCAATAAGGGAGCTGGACCAGAAACTCTCTATAGTCCCGAATATTGTCTGATCCTGCAGCAGCACTGGAGAGAAAGCCTTGAGGTTGTGAGAACAGTATCGATCCAGTCTCCGTCTGTGGAAAACTGGGAAGCAAGGTGCCTGGGCCCCACTGACTTGTTGGTTATAGGAAAGGAGTCAGACCCAATCCCTGACCCCAAGGAACCCCTAGGCCAGTGAGGGAAACAGATGTGTACCTGAATGACAACTCCGGAATGATCTGGGCTGCCGGACAGGCGAGCGTCAGTGCCTCTCCCGCAGTAGACCTGTAGGAGCTGGGGCAGAGCAGGCGTCGGGTTCTGGTGTAGCTCTGCCACCAACTCGCTAACCTTAATCAAGTCGCTCACCTCTCTGAGCTTTTTTAAAGTGAAAAATGGGATCGAGGAGGACTGGGGATTAGACTACATTGCTTGCTTTAAGGCACCTTCTGTCTCTGATGTGCTGTGATTGCACAATGGCCTGGCACCTCCAGCCTTACGGGGTTCTGGTCAGCGATGGGAACAGCCTCTCAGAATTGCAGCAACTTTAAGGGAAATGCAGTTTGTACCAATTTAAGGAAAATAAAACCTCCTGCCGACTGGTCCATTATGGGAAAAAGTACAACCTAACTCACGTTAACCTGTTTATTCATTAATTCATTTATTCAAAAATATTTATCGAGGGTTGATTAGGAGCCAGGTGTTGCCATTTACACAACATTTATGCTCAGCACACAGGGCCTGGCTGCCAGGACTTTTCTCATGCAGATGTGCCTGGTTCATCTCTTCTGTTAAGACATTTCTTGAAAACAGCGTTTTCCTACCATTTAGAGCCTCTCTTTAGTAACCAGCTCATCTGAAACTGTTTTGAAATGCCCTCAGGACAAAACAAAAAATGATATTTGTCTCTGACATTTGCCTAAGAAACAGAGAGAAGACCATCTTCGGCCTAATTTTTCCCCAGGTGGAAACCAGGGCTTCCAAGTTCTCCAGGCAGCCTGGCCTGGTGGAAAGAGCCAAGGCCATAGCCAGGAGGCCTGGCTTCCAGGACTACCTCTGATGCTGACCTGCTGTTGGCCTGGGGCCGATCCCCCCACCCTCAACCCACCCCCGCCTGATTTCTTTACTTGTAAGGAGAGGACAGGGACGCAACTATCTGCAGGGCTGTTTTCACTCTTACATATTCTGTGACATGAGAAAGGTTTTATTAGTAGAGGGAGAAGCTGGAGGTGGTTTGAGGAAACCAAGTGGAGCTGCTCAAGACATCATTGGGATAGAAGAGACAGTGATCCCAATGTCAACATAACTGGGGCCTGGGTGGCTCAGTTTGAGGGACAAGCCCAAGGTGAGAGGCGAATCCATATCTTCTCTCAGCTCGGTTCTGTGGGTTCAAAAGTCTCACTTCAGTGGTCTTGGGCCTCCATGAACACCCAGTGACCTTCTCTAACAGCCTCCAGGGAGGGAGTTACTCTGTGCAGCACTTGGTCTTCTTTCATGACGCCGATTCTAAAACTTTTTGGTTCTCTGTGGTGCCCTCTGAACTGAGGTCAAGGAAAGAAGGCTCCAGGGTAGTGGGCATGAAGTAGCCAACAGTCACACCTGCTGAGCTGCAGTGGCCAGGAGGAGGGGAGACTTACAGAGTGACACGGAAGCACCCTGGGGCCTGCTTTTTCCCCATGGGGGTAGAATTCCAGTTGGATTCCTTTGGGGAAATGACTCCTTCTATCAAAGACACATAATACAATGTCCCTGCCCTCTTAGGGTGTCCAACAGTCTGGGAAACTGAGGAGTCTCCCAGGATTTGGGACTTTCAGTGCTAAAACCAGGACAGTTCTAGGCAAATCAGGATGGTTAGTTACAGTATGATATGACAAAGAGACTGGATACAAAGCTAGGTCACAGGGCACCCAGGTTAGACAGAGACAGACAGAGGGAGCCCAGCACGCACACACAGAAAGGGAAGCCATTTCTGGGTTAAGCAGACAGCATTTTCTAGTGTCCCTTGGAGGAAGCAGCCAAAGATAAAGATATCCCAGAAAGGGAAGACTTCAGTGAATGGAAATGTGGAGACAAAGATAAAGGGCACTGATTCAGACATAACGGTCCAGTCCAGACAGAGTGAGATGAGAATGGAGTGGGGCCCGGAGGAAGAGCAACTGAATGCACAGCAGAACGGAAGCAGTTCTTTCAGCCACTCCAGAAGAAGGGTTCCCACTGGCTCCTGGGAGCTTATGAGCTTGGAGTCTTTACCAGAGGCCGCTATCAATCCTCTAGGTTTGGGCATACATGATGAGAGTCCCGGGAGCCTCAGAGAAAACTCCATAGAGTTTTACATCCAGGGTTCAGTTTTACTCATTGTCAACCCTGATTCTGTTGTCTTCACGAGGTCTCAGTTAAAGAACCCAGCTCAGGAATTGTGTAGAGATGTCTGGACTAGATGGGCTTGTATCAAATGACTGCAGTGAAGATTCTGGTGTGTGGTAGTCAGCAAAATCTGGTAAGTAGTTCATCAGCATTGCCATACTCAGAATGTTTCTTCACCCATGGCAGTAAAAACTAGGCTAAAAGATCAGACATCCTTAAAGGAGCTACTTGAACTAATAAAGGAACTTTTAAAATGCTTTTTTTAAAACTGGTGTTTCAGCATTTGAATGGCTGCTTTAAAACTTTTTCTCAGGTGGATTAAATTTGCCCTCCAACTTTGCAATCTTATTGATATAATTCCTTTATGCTGTTTATTTATTTTTCAGAACTAATGGATCTAGGGCTAGAAGGTTACTTAAAGGTTTTTAATCTAGCTCCTATCAAAGTATTAAATCTCCTCTGTAGTATTCCAGCCCAAAAGACTCCAGCCTTGCATAACTCTTGTTACGTGAAATTCTAATTCCATGCATACCTTTTGTTACATGGGATTCTAATTTTCCAGCCTGTCTTTTGCATAATGAGATAGTTCTGGTTGAAAGAAACTTCTTCCATATGTGGGGTTAAATTCTGGGTCCTTGAAGCTGCTAACAGTGCCCCCAGTTTTTTGCAAGTGTCGTTCCTTTCCTTTGACAGTCCTTTAGGTGTTTGTATCTACCTCTTTTCCCTACCAAACAGGTCCAGCTCTTCCAACCATTGCTGTTAGATACCTCACCATTCTGGGCATCTTAATTGTGCAATAAAACTCCTGGCACAAAGAATTGGAATTGAGATTCAATTGGGAAATAAAAGACAGATGTTCTAGTTAATGTTTCCCGAACTGCTCTGGTTTCCAGATGTGTCCTGATGTTTCCAGTGTCTGTCGGCAGACATCCAGCTCTGACCCACCATGGGTGCCACAGCCTGTAATGGATCAGAGAACTCCTCACCAGTCTTCTACCTGGTAGGAATCCCCTCTCTGCCAGAGTCCCTCTTCCTCCCTGTCTTCTGGATTTTCCTCTTAATCTACCTGCTTGTTCTGGTGGGCAATGCCCTGATCCTGGTGGCTGTGGTGGCAGAGCCCAGACTCCACAAGCCCATGTACTTCTTCCTGATTAACCTCTCAGCCCTGGATATCCTCTCCACCACAACCACTGTCCCCAAGATGCTGTCCCTATTCCTACTGGGAGACCACTTGTTCAGCTTTCCTGCCTGCTTCCTGCAGATGTACCTGTTCCATGGTCTCAACTGCTCAGAAGCCTTCATCCTGGTGGTCATGGCCTACGACCGCTATGTGGCCATCTGCCGCCCACTGCACTATACTGTCCTCATGACCCCACAGACCAACGCTGCATTGGCAGCCAGTGCCTGGCTCACTGCCCTCCTCCTGCCCATCCCAGCAGTGGCACAGACCTCCCAGATGGCATTTGGTCCTAGGGCCCGGGTCTACCACTGCTTCTGTGACCACTTGGCTGTGGTCCAGGCCTCCTGCTCCGACACCACA